GTTTTTCATACTCTTGCGGCTCTTTCCATTTGACCAAAAAAATAGATTGACCAACAATTCGGCTATGAAAAGGTAATAATACTGAAGTTATCACAATACAATACAAAACAATACAAAATTATTGGCAGAAAATCAATGAAATACTATAATTCCTATGAAATCTGATTAACGAAAAAACATATATTTTAAAACAGATGTATGCAAAATCGTTAGTTTAGATAGTGGAAGTAATACAAGCAACCATTTGAAAGAAGTTTCAACGCATCCAAACTTAAAATTTTGTAGCTGAATTACTCAAATATTTCGTATACCAATGTAAATGAAATTAAATGAAATGCAAAGTTGCCCCAGAAAATAATCCTTCAAATTGAAACTACGTTCTTCTTCTTGAGTATGGCCCAAGCTTTAAATCAAAAAGCGGATCCCACGTGTTGTCCCCATCTCCAGATTTGTGTAAATTTTGTCTTTCTCCTGTGCATATATCGGCTAATTTATTCAAGACATCCTCCATGTTCAACAAACAGGAATGGACAATTATTTCCCCCTGGCCAGAAAGTTCATCAATCTCAGCAACAGAAATTTCGTTCTGTGAATCATACTTTATTTCTGCACCATTATTCGATATGGGTATCTTGAGTTCGTCGAGAAAAATGCGTCTACCCTTCAATAAAGTACCGTTCATATGTTTGTAAGCGGCTTGTAAGTCGGATTCTGAAGCGAAATCGACGGTTCCCATGTTGCGTTGAAGATCATGAGCCTCTGCAAATGTAACTTCTCCAGAATTACGCATGTGATCTTTGAGGTCTTGCCAGCTGACGCGATCAGATAGATTTGAAACGAGTAACCTATAAGGGGTACGGATTGGGGCCCTACGTGAATGATTGGACCGAGCAGGCTTGGAAAAACGTTTCCCCTGGAACGGCAAGTAAGATGTGCAATCGGAAAAATGTTTCCTTTTCCAAATCGAATCAACCAGGGCTTTTTCGAGGCGAATTCGCTTACCCTTCAATATAGTATTATACAGTTTTCTAAAAGCGGCTTCCATGTCTGAATGGGTAGCGAATTCGACAGTTCCAATGTTGCTATATGGTTTGTGAGCCTGCCCGAAAGTAACTTCACCGGCATTTCGCATATAATCTTTTAGATCTTGCCAGCTGACGCCGAGAGACAGATTTCGTACTATCAGTTTATGATGGGTACGTACTGGTGCTAAACTCAATCTACGGGAAAAACGTAACCCTCTATCCTCAACTCCGGAACCAGAAAGAACTTCAACTTCATCATCACCATCCCGCTTCTCTGCACTGCCTGAGGTCGAACTCTTGAATGAAGTGGAACCGATCGAGGCATCCAGTTCCATATATTTTTCAATGAAACACTTCATTCCTTCTTCAACTTCACTAGAGGTTACTCTATCACAGTAATTGGATCTGTGAAACGATGAAGGTGTTCCAACATACGTCCTGTCGAATTGTTCGAAAAAGCATTTCACTTTCCTTTCCATCTTTTGAACGGTTCGAATACTGAATTATACGAAAACTTTTCAACTCCAGAGAAAATTGTTCACACTCCAACTATTAGCTTAACACTTTCACATCAAACTGTTTTGATTTGTAAGCAAAACGACCTTTTATACTATTCATGAGCTCGATGAAACATTACCTATATTGTAGGTATGAATGATTTCTACCTGCTCTTGATTGAATATAGTGGGGATTTCCATGATTTCGTGAACTGTTCATGTTACCTGATTTTCTTGCTACAGGTCAAACATCAAAGGAAACGATGTACTCATCAGTTGCTGCTTTTTTGCCTGCTTCAGCTGTTTTTCATATACAGTCTTGAGATTTTTTTAGGTATTCCAGTCATTTCAATTATTATTAATATTGCAAATATATTTTAATTCAGTAAGCTTTTCTTTCATATTCCTGACGAAGTCGTTACATCAAAATAACGCAGATTTTATAATTTCGGAGTATTTTTCAAGTGGAAAGAATTCATTTACGGTTTTTGTGTAGACATCAATGAGCAGAGTTGCCAAGTAATTGACCTCATGGTTTTCATAGAAAATATTCCAATTAAAATTTGCCAGGTTTTTTTCTTGATATGCAAAACGAGGACTTTCTGATTGACCCAGATGGTCCGATAACAGGGTTCCATGACACCTGATTCATATGATTGTAGATCTATATTTATAAGAACATTGGCAATACAGATAGAGGAGTGAGATGTGATTCTGGTAGGTTCAGTTATGGTTATTGCCATCTTTAAAGAATCTAAAAAACTATGTTACTCTTGTAAGTCTCTGTTGTCATTCTGGAAATGTATGTTAAAGTTACCCAAAATAACGACTTTTTTGTTAGTTGATGACAAATCATGTAACAGATGATCTAGGTTAGAGAAAATATGTCTTTGTTTCCCAGAGGTGGTCTGTACGGTGTAATAATAATTTTTTTCTTTAGTAATTCAACTGCACAAAATTCAGAATCAATTTAATTTCTGTAATATTCCATATTGAGTACTTTAAAGTTCAACCAAACTCTCAGAAATATAGCTAAATATGTCAAATCCTTATAAAAATGTATACAATTGTCGTTTCAAGATACACTTTGTCTGTTACACTGAGTAATTTGGAAGAATCCATCAAAGATAAGATTAACTTGACGCAACGCAGTTAGCCATAACGCGTCGCGTCTACCATAAGACGACGGGGAACGATGCCCGGGGGTAGAGGTGCGGTCTAAGCAATGAAGCGCCATTGTCGAGAACGCGACTCGAACGCGAGCAGACGCGTCAGGGCATACGTCGTTGACGGTTGTGTTAGTTTTGCGAATTGTTTTATAGGTAACATAACATAGGTGCAGTTGGCATATTTTTTCAGTTACCGTATTTTTAAAGTTATAAATATAGTTCAAAAAAACTTAAAAACACGCTTTTTGGAATTTCCACCCCCAAGGGCGAAAATAGGGGTTCAAAGTTTGTCAGTTTTGAAGTTGGAAACCTGAAGTTTTCGGCTAATAAAAAATATTGTGACTATTTGTTCAAAGTGGTCTGTCACGAAACTTAATGTGACAAAGAAAATTGTACGCGGGTGAAGCCGCGGGCAATAACTAATCTACATCTTATCAAGTAATCGTTTTGTTCTAGGGGTCCACAGTGTGATGGATGTCGGCACCGTCGTGGTCTTGGGGGATGGATAATGAACAACCCCACCAGGAGTTGGTCAAGTGTGTGGTCGTGGGCGATACGGCCGTCGGAAAAACTCGACTGATATGCGCTCGCGCGTGCAACAAGCAGGTCTCGATGGCCCAACTGCTGGCTACCCACGTGCCAACGGTTTGGGCCATCGATCAGTACCGCATCTACAAGGATGTTCTCGAGAGATCCTGGGAAGTGGTGGACGGCGTCAACGTCAGTCTGAGACTTTGGGACACTTTCGGCGATCACGAAAAGGACAGGCGATTCGCTTACGGAAGATCGGATGTTGTAAGTAAATATACCACACACTTTAAAAAGTACAGTACCACCAAATGAAAATAATGTACAATGGACATTTATCAGCCTGTGTAGTATATGGTACTTTGTATTTACAAAAGATGTATATTGAAATAAATAACTGAAATAAATGCTCAAACTGATGAATGCTTAAAAAATTAATACTACACGAATGAGCTGAATGAAGTAAACTGAAACAAGAAACATGGTAAATATTAGGTAACATGGTGAATAGCTCAAAAAGTGATCTATTTCTGAAGAACGTGTCTTTCAGAAAATCTAATGGGAAAATAAACAGCAAGAAGAAAAAGGCGAATGCCTTCAATTAATATTTTTCAACGATTAGGGAAAGAACGAGTGAATATATAGATAAACACAAAAATCTGTCATTTGAAACTTTCAGAGATAGATACACAACAGATTCAATGTCCTCCGGAGCGAAGGGCAACACTGGTGTCTCGTCAGTACCGCGTTACCTCGATGGATATATAGGTTAGGTTGGGTTAGGTCCAAAGTGAGTGGGTCTATTCGACCCTCCATCGCAACCCCCAAGGGTTTATTGCGGCTCACACCTATTCACATTCGACCAAATAAAACAGGCTTCGTTAAGAAGCTGGATTAGTTCGTATGGTGAACGGTCTTTCAGTACGGCTCTGCTGAACTCTAAAAACCTGATTCAGTCCCCAGCGGAGCAGGCACAAAGTATATGCTCTGCTGTTTCATCGTTAATGAGGAAGTCGGATAGTCAAAGTGCAAGATTCCCATCTTGATACCTACAACTCTCTATATGAGAGGTTTTTGCATGTCAGCTACACCTGACAATGCCTTAGATTCAACCGTGCAGGGCTTTTTCGCCTCTGGTTTTGGTGAATCATCACTTGAGCGCAAACGTTTACTAACCTGCTCATGGGGGGTTTGCTCCCCCACCTGATTCTGCGTACGCCGCTCAAGAATTTGGTGCAAGGCGGTTTTACAAGGTACCCCGCTCTTGAAGAGATGACTAAGTCGTTTCCTGGCTACACCACCAAACTTTTTTTTTTAGGTTCAGTTATTGGATCAGGAGTTGGTGAGTTGAGAAGCTCTCGCTCCTGAACAAAATTTACAGGGAGGTCAGTTGAAGTCGTAAACTCGAGATCCATCTCCTCTGTAGACTCGCTCACGAACTAAATTCACAGGGAGGTCAGTTGGAGACGTAAGCTCGACATCCATCTCCTCTATAGACTCGGCGTCAGAAAGAATTTTTAGGTTTACTCTGTCCATAAGAGTACCACGAGTAGCTAGAGAAAGATGGTCAATCACGGCAGAGCCCTGCTTTACCGTGACAAGGCGATGCTACGACGAGAGAGCGTCCGGTATCTCTAAGGTTTTGTAGAGACCGATGACATGCTCAGTGTTATTCATCCTCTCGGCACCGATACATACACCTTATAATTAAGCCATCGTTGAGATGCCATTCAGTTAGGGAATAACATAACCACAAATAATTCTTTCATTCCTGTATCCAGCGGGGCTACGTGGAAACAAGCGTCCGATGGCCGGTTTGCTCAACCCCCACATCCCAAGCCAATGCATTCGCCAAAAACAGCATGCACAGTGGTTCAGGTAGTGAAAGATGAACAAGGACAGCCAACCCGCCTCTCGAGCCTCTCGAGCAGCTGGCCTGAAAGGAAATACTTCAATTCCTGCTCTTTTATGGTACCAGACTATGCAGAGGAGGGGATCCGAACTTCTGACGACTTTACAGGCTCCATCCAGTACCATTCTATATATAGACACTCCAAACTCACGACTTTCCTGTTGTCAGCGAAAGTTCAACCGGGGATCGGGCGATTTGGGTTGCAAACTCTTATGGTGATGCACCTTTTTCGAGTCTTCACCTCGAGTTAATACAGATCCCTTCGGGTCCATTCCACAGTTTCGATCACCAAATCTGTCAGAGTTTGTGCTGATAATTGCCGTGGAGAGAGTTTTCCACTGCTGTTACGTATTCGACTCCCCGGCATCTCCATCTCTCCGTATATGTCTCCCCGGTAACTATACGGTTCCATCTACGAGCTTTACATCCTCCCCGTAGTCCCCGCATCGTTCTCTTCTGAAACGAACTGTCGCACATTTGCCTAGCCCGCATTTCATACCGATAGTATGTGTGTACTCTTTTACCATCCTCAAGAACTGATGGAGATCCTTTTCAAAATAGGCGTAAAGTTTGAGACCGTGTAATAAAACAAATGGGTGACCTTATGCCTTCGCTTTCCAGAGGTGTTACCTCGAGTATTTTTGAACCCAACGGATAATGCCTCCACTCTCTTGATCGACCGCTGTGTGAACCGGTGGTTCAAGCCGCGAGGCCAAACGAGCAATTCTCATTTTCTATCGTCCAACTCGTGCTAGGAATCAAACGTTGGAAGGTAAGACCTCGGTAGTCCTCAGCTCGCACAAGTTTCGACTTTTGAGAGTTGTTGTTCGTAGGAGGCAACAGCTAATTAACGGAAAACACATTTTAAACAGAAACAGATTCCAGTCCGACAGAGTGATATCAAGGCATCTTACTATTTTGTCAACAGCTACCCTGAAGACAGATGCTCCAATCGTGCTCTCTCATTCTAATTCCTGATAACTTTACAGGTCATATTTAGTATCATTTCGGCATGTACACACCCCAGCTCGAAAACCCCCTGTTGCCGGGAAAAGTACAATCGTGGAACGGATGATTTGGGATGCAAACTCCTATGTAGATGCATCAGATCTTCTCAGGTCCATTTCACCACTCCTAACTTGTAACGGCAACCGTATTCGTTACAGTGATACTTATTTTTTTGGGAAAGAAAGTTTTTGGCTTTCTACTACTCCATGTGATACAAAAAAAATAACCGAATTAGTTAATATTTGCAACAACTAATAATAACAAAATTCACAAACTCAAAAAAGGCGAACCCTGAGATTTCTATACATCAAATTATGACTATCACAAAATAAAATTCGAAATAATAATAACCAGTAACATAAGAAAAAAGTAACATAATACTACCTGGAGTAGAGCATTTACCTATACTAAGATTCATATTCTCAAACTATCTTGTAAAGCTAGAACTGTTAGAAGTTTCACATTAAACCGATAAAACTTTTTTCAGTAATATATATCGACTGATTTTATATTGTCGATACAATATTCCTCCACCTAAATGCACAATATCCTTTGCAATCTCTTCGGTCATGAAGTTTACGAAACATATTTAACTACCAAAGCAACGTGAACTTATACTGTCAGCAGGTATTCTGAATTTAATTTTAGTTTCAAGCGTGTGTAGAACCTGTAACAAAAACAATTCGCTCGACTTGATCGATGCATGATTTTTAATTTGATGGTTGAACTAGACAGGGATTGAAGTTATTTAAGTTTTAGAATTATTCAGTGAATGGGCTATTGCGTTAACAAATCTTTCAGAATGACAAATCATCAACAAAATGTTTATGTCGAATTCAAAGTTACAAGCCACTGGACATTTATGAACTTGTGATCACACACTGTAAACAACGCTGTTATAATCCACCAGATCTCTTTAGTGGTTTCAGGCTAAGCTGTACCACTGAACTATCCAAAAGAAAGTGTAAAAGCACCTATAGTTTCAGGCTAGTTCTTCGTGGTGAGAAAATATGTTATCGCCTTCACTATTAGGAAATGAAAAGTCACCTCATCAACAGGTTTTCATCAGGTGCTCTGCTTGGTAGCTGAACTTGAAACTGAAGTCATCGTTGTCGATGCTTGTCTATTCCTCCGTTGTTTTAGTTTTGAATGTAATGATATTCCACGCAGCTGAGAGGCATTTATTTAGCGTATGGCTTATTTAAATCACAAAAGTTAACATAACAAACATAATTGTTTAAAAGCAGGAAATTGAGTTCGCAAACAAACATCTAAGTCACGTATACAGTGTGGTCCACTAAGTCTGCAACAAATGGGAAACTTTTTTATTATCGATTTCTCAGAAAATTTTATTCTTGACAAAAGTTGGTGCACATTCCAAAACTATATCAGTGTACCTGACAAACACCATACAGGATAGGCCAAAAATATAAAGTTCGTTCAAGAGTACCCTTATTTCAAAAAATATACAAATATGTTGAAGAGAAAAGTTGCTTAGAATTGAAAGTTATGTTCAGATACGAAGTCTTGACCTGCTATTCAATTTTTTTTCTTTTGGAAAATTTTGAATTACCCCCGTATGATACATATTTTCAATATTTTGATTCAATATGTATTTGAAGTAGCCATAATCAAATCAGTTTGGAGTATTTTTTATCAAATTGAAGTGTATTTGTAAAATTCATTTGGATTTGTATTTTTTAGGTCCCGTCAACTTCATGTTTTTGCAACGATATTTAACAGAACTCTAGAATAAAACAAATACTTTTTTTAACGCTGGTTGCTTGGTACAGATATATGGCTGGTGTGATATATCTCACTCGTCTGGAGGCACATTAAATATTTTGTTCTGGGTGGTGTTTCTAGCTGTTGGTGGTGCATTGGCCCAGGTTTTGGCTGTGATGATTTTTCATGTAGCTGAGAGTTAGTTTGATTGAGAATATCGCCAGTCTAAACAATGGATATGACTTAGACCATCTCCCAGCTTGTGTCGTAGTGATAGTGATGTATACCAGGGGATCCAACGTATTGTTTGGCTTCCAGTTTTGCTAGTTCATAGCGCTCACGCTGGCCTGATTGATGTCCAGCTCAATCACACAATGCGGCTTATTACAGGTACGATCAAACCAATACCTATTTTTTGGCTTCACAGCTCCGTAGAGAACACGCTCTTGTCTGGGAATTCAAAAAGATCATTAATAATCCCCAACTACCGATAGTCTCTCCCTCGAATGAAACCGACTCCGCTCGAGGAATCCTTCTCTCAGAACTGGAAAGTCTCTACATGATATCCATAGCATCGCAGTTTGGTCAGCAAACCCTCATACCACACACTGTCGAAAGCCTTAGAAATATCAAGCTCAACATCTCTTGATGTTTCTCGATAACGTTATTCCAAATATGGGTGACATACGACAGGAGGTCGCCTGTTGATTTTTGTTTCCGAAAGCCATAATGATGATCACTCAAGATGTTTAAGCCTTCCAAATATTCAAGAATATGGTGGTTGATATCACTGATTGCAAAGCTACTGGTTTATAGTTATTTGAGTGATTTTTCTTGCCCTTTTTGGGAGAAGGCTGAACGCGAGCCATCTTTCAACAAGAAGAAAACACCCCTTTCTTATAAGACATGTTGAAAAGTCTGCAATATATTGGTGCGAGTTCATTTACACCCTTTGCAAGTACGATGACGGGCATTTCATCAGGACCAGACGCCTTGTTGATATTGAGCTGTTTCAAAATTCGCCTGATTAGACGCGGTCGAAAAGTAATTTCCAGCTTCATGAATTCTACTGTGGGAATAGTGAGTGGTGCCTTTCCCAGAAAATCAACTGTGGAGTGGGTCGTAAATTCTTCATCTAGTAGATTTGCATTTTCAATGGCTGTTGTTGCAATTGAACCTTCCGCTTGTGTTAGCAGTGGAAATGTGGATGTTCTAAAGTTCTAATTAGCAGCTTCAGCTACCGACTAGAAGGATCTAGACCCTTTGGAATTGGCAAGCAGTTTATTCCCAATTCTCTGATTGTGAAGTTATTTGCTTTCATTCATCCTAAGTTTGCAGCTGTTGCGAGCACTAACATACCTAGTTCGGTTTTCGGCTCTGGGATTTTTACACCACTGTCGGTAGACGAGATTTTTGGAAGTGACAGCTTTCTTTTGTTGAACCAAGGTTTGCCGTTAGAAGTTTCCTTCATTGAAAAAGGAATATATGCATCCATGTATGATAGACTAATTTCCGTGACTTCAGAATCACAAGTTGATGGATATTTAGAGCTGAAACAAACATCTAGCCAGGAAAAATTTCACAAATCTGATTGCTCAAGTCTACAGTGCCAATGCCCTGAAGTAACGAAGACATTGTCGATTAAATACTTAGGAATTTTTCTCGACCAACACATGAGGTGGGACGAACATGTTAATCATTTGATCGAAAGGATAAAATTACTAATGAATAAATTCTACAATCTGAGAGGCATCGTATCCAAAATTAATTTAATAACTCTGTATTACAGTTTGGCTTAATCTGTCCTAAGTTACTGCATTACGGCGTGGGTTAGTGCCTTTAATAATATTCTCGAGCTTTTAAAAATTGCTCAAAATTCTTTACTGAAAATTATTTACAATAAGGAGGAACGATTTCCAACCACGTTACTATACAACAATACACCGATAATGAATATAAATTCCTTATATATTTACAGAAGCATATCAACTGGGTCTGTTTAAACATCTGTAAATTTAAAAAGCAAGAAAATTATATAACAAGGTGAAGTATACGCACAACATTACAAATTTCACTTCTCAAAAAAAATCCCATTCCCAAAGAAGTCTGTTTTATTATGGCCCAAAATTTTTCAACCTTCTTCCTGAAAACCTGAAAACTATAAATAATATAAGGAAATTCAAAACTGCATGAATATATAAAAAGACACCCAATCCGTTTCTAAAACGAATACTGTTCACCTTTGCTATCATTCGCCTATAAATATATATATAGGCATATTCCATTTTATGTATTTAAGATGTACATCTTCCATTCCAAGCATATTCCATTTTATGTATTTGAAATGTACATGATCTATAATACCTGTATTGTGGGAAAGCACAATACAGGTATATTTCATCCCTAGGTGTAACCCATACATTCAGGGAGATAACTCTGTCATATTTTATTTGAAATATTTGATCTACATGTATGTTATTGAATGAAAAAACATTACTGCATATCTATCAAGACTACAACTTGCAGAAAGGCTAAAACTATCTCATTGTTTTCATTTTTATTTCAGGTGTTACTATGCTTCAGCATCAACAACCCTGTATCTCTTCGCAACTGCCGGTTAATGTGGTTTCCGGAAATTCGTCGTTTTTGTCCCAGTACCCCCGTCATTTTAGTAGGATGCAAGAACGACTTGCGGTAAGTTGAACCAAACAGATACAATTTTGTAAAATTATTGGTTTGATTGAATACTAAATATATTTTTCCTATCACCAAGTAAGTTTATTATACCGAAAACCCCGATATATGATTCCACTTGGAAAATAAAACGTTTCGTCTTGGTGAATTTAGTAACAAAAAATAAATATTTTCGTCATGTGCAACAATTTTAAAAAGTGTCACTTCATTTGTCGTAATTGGAAGATTCCATCCCAAAAGTTTTCATCAATTCTTACATGACATTACAACACTCGGAATTAGCATTAGAAATTACGAGTTGATGCAGTCATTAGTGCCACACAACTGCTATTTCGTGATCTATGAACAAAGTAAATTAATTACTCAAGAATCGGTTGCATAATCGCGTGGATGTTTTTTTTAGTTAGCCCAACTGTATTGATCCTTTATATAAAAAGTATAGTCTCTATAAATCAATATTCTTCGCAATGAACAATGGTGAAGGTTCCGGTTAGTTATATTTTGGTGAATTCGCCAATATACAGTGTATAAAAGCCAAATGGAATAAATTCATTATTTCGTTTACTGTACATATTTAAAAAATCCCGAAACACGTCAAATGTTAATTATAATTTGACTTCAATGTAAAAATATCACCCCTACCTTCTCTATTCAAAAGTGTTATCGATTTCAAGTTGATTGCAACAATTAAGATGAAATGGTTTAAAATCATGTGGTTACCGAAATTTGATAAAATACACTCAAAAACTAAAATGCAATGCAAAACGTGATGAAATGTAGAATACGAAAAAAACTATGGATGTTTACAAAGTAGATGTTCAAAATGTTCACTGCGAACGTCTTGGCAACATCCTAATCTCAAATGAAACTGTCTTGTAACATTATTTAACATATCAGGCGTGAACGACCTAATCGCAAGCGTTATTCGTTCTTCAAAATCATTCGAATCTGGAGGTTTAGTTTTGTACACATTGAAGTATACATATCCCCATAAAAAGAAATCTAATGAAGAAAGATCAGGTGATCGCGTTGGCTATTCAATCGATCCTCGCCTCCCTATCCACTGATTGGGAAAAATTGTATATCGAGGTATTGCCGGACATTAACTTGATAATGTGGTGGTGCTCCATCCTGCTGAAACCATATCGTATTCACTGGAACTTGAGGGTTTCCTGGATCAGGATATGAATTTGCTAAACTTGGAATGACATCATTTTGAAGCAGTGCCAAATAATTATCGCTATTCAAGTTGCCCTCAATGAAAAAGGGACCAATGATATGGTTTCCTACAATCCCTGCCCAAACATTAATCTTTTGAGGATATTGCATGTGTTCTCATCCAGTGAGGATTTTCCGTTGATCAGTAGTGGCAATTTTAGCATGACCGTTAAGAGACAAAGTACACTCATCAGAAAACATAACGTCTTCTTATTCTATATATACTAAATCTAGTTCATTGTATTAGTTTGAGAATGTTCAAATAGGACATTAACGTTAGTTACAATTAAAAGTGGTAAAAAACATGGAAATTTTCATTTCTCTTTTCTTCTAATTGGATGATTTTGTTATTCAACAATCAAAATCCGATGAGCTCCTAAGTAGGGATGCAGTTTTTTTGAAAATCTGATAATTTCTAAGTGATGTAAATAATAATAATTTTTATTAATCTCAAAAAACAAGAATGTTTATAACAGGAATAAAATTTAANATATATATATGAATATAAAAATGTTTATAATTTCTGTGATGGGACAGGGGAGATATACAACGGAATTAAAAACGATCTATATCAATATTTTTGAATACAAAATTGATTGTATTGAGAGGCGTTTGCGATTATTTGGTCAGTGAGCAACATATTTATGTAACAAAAAACAGTTCCAACTTATCGCACTTGCCAGTCAGATGTAGGTACCTATCAACGGCCAGTCAATTGAAATATCTTCAGTATGTCATTATATAGGGTGTTCCTTAAACACATTCTAATATTTAAGGAGGTAATTCTTAGACCCATTTTGAGGAAAAAACGTCCTATGGACGTATGTCCTAAACGCCTTAACTTTTGTTATTTGAAATATTTGATCTACATGTATGTTATTGAATGAAAAAACATTACTGCATATCTATCAAGACTACAACTTGCAGAAAGGCTAAAACTATCTCATTGTTTTCATTTTTATTTCAGGTGTTACTATGCTTCAGCATCAACAACCCTGTATCTCTTCGCAACTGCCGGTTAATGTGGTTTCCGGAAATTCGTCGTTTTTGTCCCAGTACCCCCGTCATTTTAGTAGGATGCAAGAACGACTTGCGGTAAGTTGAACCAAACAGATACAATTTTGTAAAATTATTGGTTTGATTGAATACTAAATATATTTTTCCTATCACCAAGTAAGTTTATTATACCGAAAACCCCGATATATGATTCCACTTGGAAAATAAAACGTTTCGTCTTGGTGAATTTAGTAACAAAAAATAAATATTTTCGTCATGTGCAACAATTTTAAAAAGTGTCACTTCATTTGTCGTAATTGGAAGATTCCATCCCAAAAGTTTTCATCAATTCTTACATGACATTACAACACTCGGAATTAGCATTAGAAATTACGAGTTGATGCAGTCATTAGTGCCACACAACTGCTATTTCGTGATCTATGAACAAAGTAAATTAATTACTCAAGAATCGGTTGCATAATCGCGTGGATGTTTTTTTTAGTTAGCCCAACTGTATTGATCCTTTATATAAAAAGTATAGTCTCTATAAATCAATATTCTTCGCAATGAACAATGGTGAAGGTTCCGGTTAGTTATATTTTGGTGAATTCGCCAATATACAGTGTATAAAAGCCAAATGGAATAAATTCATTATTTCGTTTACTGTACATATTTAAAAAATCCCGAAACACGTCAAATGTTAATTATAANTTTTAGAATTGATCTAATTTCTTAATTTGCTTTCTGTCGATTTTTATTTTTTTGAGTGAAAATCATGCGTCGAACAAAGAAATACCAAGAGATCAAAGTTTTTTTCTTAAAATGGGTCTAAGAATCACCTCCTTAAATATTAGCATGTGTTTAAGGAACACCCTGTATAGTTCCCGTTGAGGGTATTCCAGAAGATGGTCTATTCTAAGATGTTTCTATAGCGGCATATATCGGTCTGGATGGCAACACGGTAGTTGAGAGGATCAGAAGAACATCTCTTGGTTGATGAGAGCAGTTAGTACCCTACTGCCAAGAGAGATAATCTCCCTGAAATACTTCACAAGAGACTTCTTTCGAAGTCACACATTTGTGTTGCTCACCTACTTGGTCGCAGATTGACCGCCAATCAGGTCTTCCCTAGATTGAGATAAATGTATCATGGTCTTCCCTTGAATAGATGAGGGAATGAAGGGGAAACACTCAAGTTAGAACGCTGCTCGAAAATGATTGGTAAATGCCATAAACATAGTAAACTTCCAATGCAACATAAATTTAACTCATATACCTACTTGATAATGCCAAAAAAATCTTAAAAATCTACGTTTTATTGGAAATAACAACGAAATCAATATACATAGCTGTTTCTTTTTATTGGATACCCTTTGGGGCACTTGAGATCATCCTGCGAGGAAATGGGAACGATTTGGGGGTGAATAGGAGAGGAATAATTGAATCTTCATTATATGTATGACAAATATCACTCACGTAACCTTTACTGGTCTCGATGTCAATACATTTTCCATGTACCCAGAGGTTTAGTCCTTGACTGACAGTGTTGAAGGGCTCACTGAAATTGTGCTCAACTGCACTTTCACGAACTTTGCAATTTTGAGTATGATTAATGTGATACTGAACAAATACTGTATTTTCAACGACGCCTTTGAATTTGTCGGGATCAATAGAATGAATTTCAGCGGCTCTGAATCCACTCATGTTAGCTGTTTTGTTGAACGCATTTGTGAGAAGTTCTCTAAGCTCGTATTCGCCAGGATTGATAGCCATGTAGAGTTTACATTCTTTATTGTATGCTATTTTCAGTGAACTTAAGATTGTTAGATCCAATGGCTGCATTTTATGAGGAGTCAAGGATAAATTTGCAGGTTGTAATTTCGAAAAAGTTCATATGCTATCAAAGCTGATATGTATTTCGTGATCATGAAGTATTAATAATGATGTTTCTTGTTTGCTAGATATAATTAAAAAAATCAAGTTTTGCAGTTAAAAAAAACTGTGGCCGTCATGTCGTCGTTACATCCTTTAATTAACAGTTCGTTAATTATATTTCTTTTGAAGATGAACAATGATTAGGTATATTATATTATGTTTGGATCGTTTTTAGTTGATCATAAAACAAATTCATTTCGGTGGCGACAAAAACTGTTATTCTATTAAGTGAAGTAGCTTCTGGAATCTTCAAATTCAACTTGTGGAATCTGGAGGAATACATTGAATGACCAAATTGGTGATTGACTTGTTTAACAAACTTGTGATTCACGACAACCATTCAAATACTAGTTCTGGTAAATAAAATTTTTTTCAATAATAATTTTCAACGGAATATTATGAATGTTCAATATTTTGTTGGATATTGTGAGTAAAATAACTTCAAACATTTACTGTTATGTAATACGACTTCAGTTTCTTTCATTTCAATTGATTAAAATTTTATCACAAAATGTTTTTGATATCTAAACTTGTGATGTACTGTTTGGAACCTTTGGTATAGTAATGAATATTACTGGAGTTTTTTCCCAACACCATTATTTTAACACCTCAACATGTGTTTCGATCTCCAAGTGATCATCTTCAAGATCTTCCTCTTGAAGATGATCATTTGGTGATCGAAACACGTGTCGAGGTGTTAAAATACCGGTTTGGTGTTGGGAAAAAACTCCAGTAATATTTATATTATATACAGTTTTCACCAGATTTATCGCGAACTGCTGAAAAAAAGGTCAATTATGTAGTATTTTTAAAAAGGTAGGTGAATGACCTTTAAAATGAGGTAGCACTCGACCACTCTTCCTGTTAAAGATTTCCGCCCTCGGACCTATGGACGTCGAAATATTAAGGGTGTTACGTTTTGAAATTGACACACTGTGTATTTTTCGATCAGAATATAAGTGAAATTCATTTTGACAGTTAATAAATCCATTGAGTAAGAGCGCCCGTACACTAGCCACATTTTGCGGTCGGATCGACCACACAATTGCAGTCGCGTTCCAGCGAACTCAAGCCGCCCATAAGAAATACTGTACTACACGTAAACGGGCATTCACAAAAGTCAAAACGGACGTCTGCAGTCAACTTGCTGCTGATCTCCGCCGAGATGTCATCGCGGCATCCGCCGTACACTAACCACAAACTTGCAGTCGTACCCAACCGGGTACACCGTGGTTTACTTTTTCTCAAATTGGTCTCTCAGCATTCAATTTTTGATGTCAGTTGCCTCAACTGCAATGCGAGTTATATGACCGGAAGTCGACCACAAAAATGTGGTTGGGTTAACCGCGAAGTGCAGCCAACGTGACCACAATGTTGTGGTTGCCTCAACTGCAAATATGTGGTCCGTGTACGGCCGGACTTACAGGCTCTGAGACTGGTCGAAAATACCATCGCAGAACTAAATCAAAAGAAAAAAGTTCATGTCGTTTTGCTATACATTTCGAAAGCCTTCAACCAAGTATGACACGAAGGTCTTCTGCATAAACTAATTGCGTACGACCTGCCTCGGGACCTGATCCGGTGGATTTGGTCTTTCCTGAAAGACAGAACGTTTCATGTTAGAGTAGAGGGCTCTCTATCCGACAACAGAGAGATCCTCGCTGGAGTGCCACAGGGGGCCGTGCTCTCGCCGACGCTGTATTTACTCTACACCAGTGACCTTCCAAGGTCAGAGCGTGTGAAGATATCTCTGTACGCCGATAACACGGCTCTCCTCTCATCTTCCATGAGTCGGGAGCTCGGTGTCGTCTACATGCAACGTGCATTAGACGACCTCGAGCGCTGGTAGCTTGAATGGAAGATCCGACTGAACCCGAAAAAGACTCAGGCGATAACCATGGGAAGAACAATATCTTCTCTGACCAGAAAAGTGAGAATCTCTGGAAGGGAGATCGACTGGCAAGCGCGAGGAAAGTACCTCGGTCTTCTAATAGACCGTAGGCTCACCTGGAACTCGCACATCACAACCGTGAAGGCGAAGATCGAGGGTCGGATAGCTAGTCTGTAGCCTCTGATCAACAGACGTTCTAAATTAAGCTTTAAAAACAAAATTACGATCTACAAAACGATGTTCAAGCCTGGCATCATGTATGCTTCAGGCGTCTAGGGACAAGCGGCTCCGTCAAATATCTCCATTTTGGAGAGATTGCAAAATAAGCTAATAAGGATGATTGTGAATGCTCCTTGGTTCGTACGTAATGAAGCCATCCGCAAAGATTCACAGCTGCCTTTCATTCAGCAGTCCATTCAGTCGAGGAATCGGCAAGTCCTTGATTGTGCCGAAAACCATGAAAATCCGTTAATCAGGGAAGCTATGGATTATACTGTAGACGACCCTTCCCGATATAGAAGGCCCAGACACTCTGTCGAATGAGGTCCTCATGTCCTTCGTTAGAAGATGAACAATATCTTCATCCAAACACCCCAGCCAGGTAGGGGTTCACCTTGAAGGGCGGTAACGATGTCTGAGGACTTTCATACCGCCACCCTCTCGTCCTTCTCACGAGCATCAGTCCTAAGGGTAAGGGAGCTGGGCTCCAACCTGCTCGAAATGAAGATGACTTTCCACAATTAATAAAATTATGATTTTTATTTTAAAGAAACGAATTCATTCCACAGCTATGACATTACATAATGAACTGTCGATATTCCTGACTCATTTTTTAAATAAATTCACAGTATGAATTCAGAATTGAATTTTTTTCCCCAATTTCAGTTACATGTACCGAGACGAGGCGTATCTCAACTACTTCCGAGACAAGAGTCCATTCGTTCGCGCGACCAGGAAGAGCGATCTGGTGATGCCAGACGAGGCCAGAGACGTGGCCAGAGAACTCGGCCTGCACTACTACGAGACTTCGGTACTTACCTACTATGGAGTTAACGAAGTGTTCGAGAACGCCATTAGGGCAGCGCTGATAGCCAGACGGGCCCAGCGGTTCTGGATGACGAACTTGAAGAGGGTGCAGCGGCCGCTTTTGCAGGTTAGACAAATATCAGAATTTGAAGTGTATGTGTTTTCAAGATTCTACATGATGGATTCCCATCACTTCTTGGCAAATAACTGAACAAGACAGCCTTTTTTACAAAATCTGCTCGAAAGATGATGGTATCAGTTGAGTATAATTTAGAGATGTGTTTTCTGATTTGTCGAGCTTATCTTTCTGTATAATTGAAACTTAGTAGATAAAATCAGGCAAAAACCCACATTTCCTACATTAAATGTATTCATGGATATGTATAAGAGATGGAAAATTCTTGAAACGCTCTGAGAACGGTTCCTGTGCAAAAATAGGTTCTTTCGTTAGGCGCCACCTATCTTTAAATTTAAACAATAACAAGGTATTTCTAAGATATTATAATAAAATTTCCACCCGTTTGAAAGACCTATTGATACTATTATGTGTGGAATATCGTTAAAATATCCGCCACGGATTCTCTGTGTGGGGCACATCCGAAACGTCCATATTCCATGGTTAGGTTAGGTTAGGTCCAAAGTGAGTGGGTCTATTCGACCCTCCACCGCAACCCGCAAGGGTTTATTGTGGGTCACACCTATTCATACTCGACCAAATAAATCCAGCTTCTCAAGGAAGCCAATTAGTTAGTATGGTGAGTGGTCTTTCAGGTCAGATGGTTAGAGTACGGCTCTGCCGAACTCTAAAAACCTGATTCGGTCCCCAACGGGACAGGCACAAAGTATATGCTCTGCTGATTTATCGTTATTGAGGTAGTCGGATAGTCAAGGAAAGTAAAGTAAAGTAAACTTTATTGACTACACTGTGAATAACTTACACGAGTAGCAGGTCAGTAACAGTACACATACAGTGTCTTTGAAAAAATTGAAAAAGTGCATTTCTAGATCGAATTTAACAAAAAGTCACTTGAAAAAGTTGTGTCTACGGCAATTTTATATCCATATGCCAAATTTTATGCAACTAGGATAAAGTTAACATTTTGCTTATTTTTGACAGATATCCCCTTTATTTAAAAAAAACAAGTTCGGTTAATTTTCATCAATTCATGTATACATAACAAACTCATCATGGAGTTTAACTTTTCTGATAAATTTTTACTTATACGGACATTTTTA